CGGGCGAAATGCCACTAATCAATCCACTATTGAAGTAAGAAAGATTACAAAGATAACATACAAATTACCCAACTCAGTCAATTTGTCTTCGAATCTTCTGTAACTCTTTCTCCACGACTTCGTCTCGGAACTGATCAATCCTGAAGTTGATTCCACAACCTCACTTGTCGAATTAACGACTACGTATAGAATCAAACGCCTTTTGAAACTATACGCTTGAATCTTCGGAATCCACCGAAGAGAACTCTCTCTTGGATTGAAAGTAATCAACTCCTTGATGTATGAATTTTAGGTCATGAGTGAAGAACTCTTCTCAAAAACATCAAGGAAAACTCATCAAAACTTCAGAAGAACACTTCAAACAGAACCCTAGGACTCTTGATTTAGATTTAGGAAAAGTAATCCTAAAACAGACCCAACAAGCGAATTTATAGAATCTGAGATCGCGCAGTCCGCTCGAGCGTGGAAAGGCCCGCTCGAGCGGAGGCTACAAAATTGTGTGATTCATATAAGCTTCACGCTCGAGCGGCAGTTTCCACGCTCGAGCGCCGAATCACACTATCCAATACTTTTTCAGGCGACTGCAGAGATGCTGAGAGCTTCAAATCTCCGCTCAAGCGTCACTTTCCCCGTTCGAGCGGGAAGACCAAAAAATGAACAACTGGAAAACTGAAACCTTTTACAACCTTGGTTTTGATCCATGGATTATGACAACAAAGGGTCCTAACAATATATACATGCATTACTGGGTAGGTGGCCCACCATTCAAACTTAAAAATAATTAACAACAAAGAAGTGAACAAAAGTCTAGTATAGAGATTTTTGGCATAAATTATATGAATAAGGCAATGAATGTGATCATTTTTTATTTTATTTTTTTGATCGGCAGAGAAAAAATTTCACTAAAAACATGAAATTTAAAGATTCAAGAAAAAAAGATGCATTGAGAGAGATTCGAAAAGAATAAACTCTCCTATATTACTGCTAGGGGTGAACAGCGGATATATCGATCCGTCAAAACCGACCGAACCGAACCGATCCACCGCATTTTGGACGGATACGTGATGACGAGTGGACGGTTGCGGATTGATTTTCTCCAATCCGCCAATTTGGCGGACGGATGGCGGATTTGAGGTTCCTTTGGCCGCAACCGAACTGCCAAATTGCGAACACCTTTAATAATTTATAAGACTTTGTGTTTTCAATTTGTTTAAATATTTTGTTTGTGTTTTCAATTGAAAAAGAGTTTAAATATTCTGTTGAAAACAAGTTTTCAACTTGAATATATTTTTCGAATTGAAAAAAATAAACGTATTATTTATTTATATTTTTTGGTTTTTAAATCTAACTCTAAAAGTAATAAATAGAAAATATGATATATGCTGGTTGGTTTTTGTTTTCAAAAACATATATAAATTTAACAATACAGAGACATACAATCTCTACTACTGCTCTGTTTATGGTTTTGGTGGTTTGAATTGTTTTTATATTTTAAGAACCACATATTGTAATACTTTATGTGGATAAGGCATGCTGTAATTGTAATATGCGAATGAGGCATGCAGTGATTGTGATATTCTAAAGTTTCAAACTTTCTTTCTTTGGATGAGACATGCAATAATTGTAATACTTTTTTAAGTTATTGATTGTAATACTCTTTTTTTTTTTTTTGAGGAAGTGCACAAGTTGCACTATGTTGAAAATTTATAAAATTTCAAACCGCCAAACCGATTCGCATCCATCCGCCAAACCGCCAATCTGCTCAATCCACATCCGCCGGATTGGCGGACGGATGCGAATTGATTTTCTCCAATCCGCCAATCTGGAGGACGGATGGCGGATTGGAGGTTCTGTGGCCGCAACCGACCCGCGCCCACCCCTAATTACTGCTACTCGCATCCTTACAACGAACCCTTTGTCTCACGATTTTATATTTTAAAAAAAAACAGAAAAAAATTACAAACCAAACTCTTGAGCCCCACCCCCAAACCACCGAAACAAACCCAGCTTGTCACCCGCGCCTGTTTCCAAGCGTGCCCCACGCTAGTTTCCATGAAATTTAAACAAAATTGCATTGATCCCATTTAGCTTCCCATACCTGCACTCAACCAATAAACACCCAAATTCAACATCCAACCTGTACGACTGAACATCATGGACACTTCCACTAAACACTTCGTATCTCCCACGATTAATCCTCTTCCAAACAGCTTCCTCGGATGTTCCTCACTCCAACATCGAAAAGCCCCCTCTTTGCCGATCAAAAAGCCAACCACCATAGAAATAAACGGATTTCACCCCTCAAACTTGCACTTGCACTCACACAGGAGCACTCGAATGAAGATCCTAAACCAAAGTGGATCTTTTACCCCTCTAACTCCCACTTACAAAGGAGCGCCCGAATGAAGATCCTAAGTGAAACCAACCCATCTATGTTCGAAGCACCTTCCATGACCGAAAGGCCCATGGCCAAAAAAACACCCAAAACTGAAAACCACGGATCTGAGGAAGAAAAAATTCCTATGGCACCATAACCCAACCCTCTTTCACCTGTTGAACAACTCCACTGCTCTAGTGTGACCGTTGAAGACCCACACTTCCCTAAGCACCTATAAAGAGAAAACCACCGCCAACTCCTCTCTTGTAATGACCACCCACCAAGACTTCCGTGACTGAGGAAGAACAACTCATACTCGAGCACCAACACCCACTGAATGGAGACCCAACAAGCTTTGGGACCGCCAGATATGATAGATCTGATACCACCCAAGGAACACCCAACCAAAAGCCCCGAAGAACGCCGGTGAACAAGTATCCAACCCAAAAACTAAAGAACCAAACAACATCCTAAGCAAATCTAGAGATTAGATTTGAAAAGGAGATGGTGGTAAATAAAAGGGGGCTCAAGTTTATTAGGGGAAATGACTAGAACACACACAAGAAAAAGCTAGGCAAGCCGACCAGTATGGCCAAAGGCAGCTAAGCAAGCTACCTCATACCTTAATGGGACTTGTATTGTAGCTCTCTAAGGCAAGCAACTTGCCCTTCTCTGGCTACTGGTCCCAAGGCATTGCTCTTAGTAGTTGGACATCTTATTTAAGAACCGGTTCTATTAAAAAAGAAGTTGTTTACACCTGTCCTAGCATTCCAAGATTCGGGATTTCCCTTTTGTCGAGTGTTCTGAGCTTGGGATCCGAAAGTGGGATTTGAAAGTACCGTTCTAGGGGCATCCCTCTTGTAGTCTCGGCCCCTTTAGTGGAGTAAATAAAAGTTATTTGGAGCACTGGATATGCCAGGCAGCGATGAGGCCCAGGGTGGAGGCTTTTTAGAAAGAGAAAAATTTTTATATGAGAGAGAGAGAGAGAGAGAGAGAGAGAGAGAGAGAACTAGCAGCCACAATGAATGTGACCATGATGTGATATTCGAAAAAAGAATTTTGTAAGCTAATTCTCAAATGGGGCATCTCGTGCATTTTCTGTAAGTTCCTACGAGTTACATTGATCCTTTTTGAGGGGTTTGTATCGGTTCTTATGCAGATTTGTGGTTGTTTAACAATTTGCCGTAAGTACCAAAAAAAAAGCTTTTTTTTTTCTTTTTTTTTTTGTATTGTACTCAAACAGTGCTTCCTGTGCATGAGCAATAAGTTCTTACAATTTATATTGGTCTCTCCCGAGGTGTTTGTGCCAAATCACAAATTGAAAAACTTAAGTGATTCGTGATTCGAAACGAATTTAATTGCAGCAATTCCCAAACACACAAAATTAACAATCTAAATCATCTAGCACATATGAAAATGATTTAGATTGTTGTTTCACAATTAACAAATTGACACAAAAGATTTTAACATGGAAAAAATCACAATTGGAGTTATATATATAAAAAAAATACGAGTTAAAAGCCACTAATCAATCCACTATGAAGATAATGAAAATACACAAGAGAAGTAACAATTACCAAACATGCTTAAGAATTGTCTTCCGCTTATAATATCTCTTTTAACACGCCTTCGTCTAGGAATTGATTAGCCCAATGTCGAATCCACAACACCCAAGTTGAATCCACGACGATAAGCCACTTTGAACTCCTTTAAAGCCTCCAAGCTCCAATCTTCTGGATCCACCTATCAAACCCTCTTGAAAAATAAAATCGAAACAACCCCCCCTTGATTTACGCAATCAAATTCATGTGATGCGACTAATCTCACAAAAACATCAAGGGAAACAAAGGGTAAGAACTCCAGAAGCAAACACAAACTCTCAAGTTTTAGATCTAGAAGTTGTAACCCTAGAATCTACAAGTTGCGCAGCTTTATATGAAACAGGGTTGTAAAGACTGCTCGAGCGAAGGAATAGTCGCTCGAGTGGTGTGTCTTAGATGGGAAGAAACCATAAGTGTCTTTGCTTAAGTGATGGGAAGTTCGCTCGAGTGAAGAATGAGATCTCTCAGTACTTTTGCAGGCATGTCTGAACTACTGAGAGATAAACTTCTTCGCTTGAGCCACCAATTCTGCGCTTGAGCAGTCCAAGTAAAAACAGGACACTAAAATACAACTAAAACGTTCTTTGTTCACGGAATTGATGACACAAAGGGACCTAGCAATCTTCCCCTTTGTAAATTCCTAAACAAAACAATTCTAACATTAATTCCTAACAAACACATGCACTAGACACAAACACTCCCTAACCAAACACCATGCGAAGAGAACCACTTGCAAGAAGTATAGAATCGCACAAACATGTCTAGATGATAGATGATTAACATTAGCATAGTTAGCATAAAATCAATAATAAACCACAATCACAATCATGCTATCATCATGCTCGCCCTTTTCGACTGGGAGAGACAAAGTGGTTAAACTAAAAAAAAAAAAAAAAAACCAAATAAGCCCAATATGCCAAAAAAACATGTCCAACATAGGTAATAAACAAAAAAAAATATTATGTCCAAAATATCCAAAAGCTAGAAAATACAAATAGAAAACCTGTCTATGAGGTAGAAGAATGAAAAGAATCACTGATATGGTGGACGAGGAGGTGGATCATGCTGCATCTGAAGACATGAAAGTATCTGGGCTAGTTGAAGAGAGGACCGGTCTATCGAATGCTTAATACGGCCAGCGGAGGCCTCTAAGGAAGTGAGACGGCCATCAAAAGCATCCACCAGTGTATCGAGCCAATCAAAGCGTTGGATCATAGTCTACTCAAATCTTAGAAGCTGGCCTCGAATGGTCCGAGGGCGGACATCTTGCTCGTCATCACTAGTAATTGCAGCATCAAACTCAGCTTCCTCCGCCAAATGTTTCTCACCTGCATCAGAAGGACTTGCCCCCAAAGACTCCCCTTTGACATGAACCTAACTTTGAGAGAGTCTTTTTGGTGACTGCTTTGATAGGAAAAGAAAATTCATCGTTGGAAGAAGAGAAGACATCAAAAGAGAAAAAATGTGGTTTATGAGACACCCATAGGGAAAACCCAAAGGCTTTTTATCCTCAAACACCAAAATCATTTTTTGGACAATCATACTAGCAAGATCAATTTGAAGACAACGATCAATGCAATACAGAACATACCCTTGATCATGAGAGATGTTGGAACTGTGGGTGGTAACATGAATATTGGCACGACAATGATAAATAGAAGGTGGAAACAGAAAAGAAGTTTGTTTTGCCTTGATGAGGGCCAATTCTAGGGTGTCCCATAGATTTCAATGGCAACCAAATTAAAATTAGCATTATGAGAAGCAAGAAATGGAAGTGACAGTTAGCAATAGGAGAAATACCAAGGATATCTTAAAATGAGTGGTTCAGATTTTTAAAAGGTATAATTAGATTTTGGATAAATTAAAATGAATGGTTCAAATTTGCTAAAAGAAAGATGGTTTAATGTCTAAAATGTCCGTGGCTAAGAGATCAATAAACAATTTCTTGTTTATGCCCTGATGCAATTTAATATGGGTTTTATAACATTTTCTTCAAACAGGTTCTTTCACATTTTATTTCTTCAAACAGGCTCTTATAACATTGTAATCAGGTTCTTATAACATGTAGGGGAGAGAGTGAGAGTGAGAGAGAGAGAGATGGTTGTAATTTTTTTTTTAATCTTCCACGTTCTTCCACATTTTTTTTTTCAATTACTAAAACTTATTTGATTGTCTCAAAATTATATATTTGATTATTATAAAACAAACTTTTTAATTAATTAATTAATGTTTATTTGATTTTGTTGTTGAACCAAATAAAATAAAATAAAATAAGATTGAACGTATATTGCTTTTGTTGTGAACCTTAAAAAAAAAAAAAAGTTGTTAACATTAAATATAAAAAATAAAAATAAAATAAAAATGAGGATTAAAGTGGGTTGGGGAAAATCCAAACCCATTAAGAAATAGGGAGGGTGGTACCCATGGGGAATGGGGAATGAGAAAAATTTATTATAGGGGAATGGGGATGGGGAATTAATATCCACCTCATTAAGCCCCATTGTCATCCCTAATCAAATTCATGTGATGCAACTAATCTCTCAAAAACATCAAGGGAAACAAAGGGTAAGAACTCTAGAAGCAAACACAAACTCTCAAGTTTTAGATTTGGACGTTGTAACCCTAGAATCTACAAGTTGCGCAGCTTTATATGAAACAGGGCCGTGAAGACTGCTCCAGCGAAGGAATAGTCGCTCGAGCGGTGTGTCTTAGATGTAGAGAAACCATAAGCGCCTTTGCTCAAGCGATGGGAAGTTCGCTCGAGCAAAGAATGAGATCTCTTAGAGCTTTTGCAGGCATGTCTGAACTACTGAGAGATAAGCTTCTTCACTCGAGCCACCAATTCTACGCTTGAGCAGTCCAAGTAAAAACAGGACACTAAAGTACAACTAAAACGTTCTTTGTTCACGGAATTGATAACACAAAGGGACCTAGCAATCTTCCCCTTTGTAAATTCCCAAACAAAACAATTCTAACATTAATTGCTAACAAACACATGCACTAGACACAAACACTCCCTAACCAAACACCATACGAAGAGAACCACCTGAAAGAAGTATAGAATCGCACAAACACGTCTAGATGATAAATGATTAACATTAGCATAGTAAGCATAAAATCAATAATAAACTACAATCACAATCATGCTATCATCATGCTCCTCCTTTTGGACTGGAAGAGACAAAGTGGTTAAACCAAAAAAAAATAAAAAAATAAGCCCAATATACCAAAAAACATGTCCAACATACGTAATAAACAAAAAAAATATGTCCAAAATATCCAAAAGCTAGAAAATACAAATAGAAAACCTATCCATGAGATTGAAGAATGAAAGAAATCACTGATATGGTGGAAGAGGAGGTGGATCATGCTGCATCTGAAGACATTAAAGTATCTAGGCTAGTTAAAGAGAGGACTGGTCTACCGAATGCTTAATACGGCTAGTGGAGGCCTCTAAGGAAGTGAGACGGCCATCAAAAGTGTCCACCAGTGTATCGAGCCGATCAAGGCACTGGATCATAGTCTGCTCAAATCATAGAAGCTGGCCTCGAATGGTCCGAGGGCGGACATCTTGCTCGTCATCACTAGTAATTGCAGCATCAAACTCAGCTTCCTCCGCCAAATGTTTCTCACCTGCATCAGAAGGACTTGCCCCCAAAGACTCCCCTTTGACATGAACCTAACTTTGAGAGAGTCTTTTTGGTGACTGCTTTGATAGGAAAAGAAAATTCATCGTTGGAAGAAGAGAAGACATCAAAAGAGAAAAAGATGTGGTTTATGAGACACCTATAGGGAAAACCCAAAGACTTTTTACCCTCAAACACCAAAATCATTTTTTGGACAATCATACTAGCAGGATCAATTGGAAGACAATGATCAATGCAATACAGAACATACCCTTGATCATGAGAGATGTTGAAATTGTGGGTGGTAACATGAATTGTCACACCCCAAACCCGAGTATGACCGGCCATGGCCCACAGGGCCTTAGCCCAAGGCACACGTAAGCCTAAACACAAATCCATAATCTCATCGAACAACTAAACAATAGTCCAATAATAAATAACCAAAACTCAATCTAGTGACATGCCACAATTATAAACGGCAAAATCAACCGTAATTAAAACCATCCAAACTTATGCAATATAAATAGCCCACATATCAAAATAATCTTAAATGATTGACATAACACTCTAAAATAAATGAATGTCCTAGAGGTCCATGCAATCGGGTCCCTGCTATGCCATGAGTCCACTCTAAGTCCTTCTAACACCTGAAAATGGTAAACAACTAAGTCAGCTTATAGCTCAGTGAGTAGCAACATGGATAGTATATATAGTTTTGAAAACAGGGATCAATTCCAAAATAAGACATATATCACAGAAACTAGATTGGCATACAGTTTGGTAAAGAGAATCTGTTTCAAAAAGAAGGTTCCACACTTTAATAGTTAAAATACTCATGTCTCTTAAGAACATGATAAATGACATTTTTCACTTAAAATAGATTACAACATGAACACCAATAATTTTCTGGATACCAAGAAATAACAAGTAACATGCCACATAGTTCTCAAGGCTATAAGCCCCGTTGGATCCAATACCGAATGAAGAGTCATCCTCAGGGTGGCAACCTGGGCCTTTTCTTTAAGACGATCCAATTGAAGGTCACCAAGCTTAACCTAGGTCTTTTCCTTACAATCATTGAGCACTAGAGTCATCACGGCCCAACTCGGATCTGTTCCCTAGTGGCCAGAGTCACCATATACAATGGAATAATTTCCCTGGACTAAATACACATATAGTCCCAATAATCAATACACATCAGTTTCGCAAAACATGGTAGTTCATCATTATAAACATGAGACCAAAACAAATAGTTTGCAGTATGCCAAGTTCACACATGTTTCAGAAATAATTTGATTCCGTTGATAATATAATAATTTATCAAAATAGGTTAGTCCTGAAACAACAATTTAATTTTCCAACAGTTCAAGGTAGGGGTATATTTATAAAAATATGTAGCATGAAACTACTCACCTGAAAACGAAATAATATAATCCTCGAATAGAGTATGAAAGTCCAACTAGTACCTTGAACCAAGTATCAAAACTACACGTCACTACTAATTTAAAAATACTAAAGAATAAGAACTAAGTAACCCCAAACTAAAGCGCACTAACACGGCTCAACCCAGCTCACCGTTACTCTTAAATATTACCTAAGTTCATGTTCTTCAAGGTCTAAAATCACCCAAGACATAGGTTCAAATCAAAACTTAATTAAAAGTAACTTTAAGATAAAACAAAATTTTAAACTAGTTTTCCCAATCTATTTGCTAACTTTGAAAATTAAAAACCCACTCCACGTTGTTCAAAAAATTCTAAAACCCTCCAGATATCAACTAATATATCCTAAGTTTCAAATCCAAATGGTTTCACTTGATTTTCTTATCAAAATAATTATCTACAATTAATTATATCTAAACAGGTTATTTTCTGCAGCACTTTAAAGAAATTAATGGTTCTCTTAGTATACATGAGCAATGAACGCAAGGCCAAAACATACGAAACTAGACTCGTAACCAGTTCTATTGACGCTGATTTAATAATTTTTGGATTTATACCCAAAGAGAACAACACTCCCGAACTTATTGTTTAAAATCAGTTTTCTGGACAGATTTAAATACATGGATATAGAACATGTATATTTTTCCAATTGACACAAGATAAATTACAAAAATCATAGGTATAATTTTTCCAATTCTTTACAAAAAATTATATGGTAAATTACATTTTTTACACTAAAATTTTCATCTAATTTCATTTTAGTACCTCATCTTTTAATTTAAACAATTAATGTTCAAACTTTAACTTATGTTTCAATGTGGTCCTCTTGTGTAGACACCCCATTTTTGACCATCCTCAAGACTTGGACGTCATCGTTTGAACACTCGATGATCATCCGTGCTCGTGTTCGTTTTGAGTTCCCGAAGGTCTTGGCTGCGCGCCTTGCCTTAGGATCTCTCAACTTGTCTGTTTTGTGCTTGGTTGAGGACCAAGGACTTGTGGTTTTGATTTTAAGGG